CCCCCCCGCTACCCTTCCCCCACTCATCAACCCCACCTCTTAGTCCTGGAGCCAAAAACCTATTAAAAAACGAAATGTAAAATTTGTAGTTTCATTTCTACATTTCACTGACCCGTTTGGTCAGATGTTTGTTTTTTCGTTTTGTTTCTTTCAGGTGTGTGTGTGGGGGGGGGGGGGTCAGAGAGTGGTGGAATAAGTTTCCTGAGAACTCTTCCACTCCTCCAATCCTTGGACGTGTTCTTCTGCGTCAGCCTCGTAGACAATGACAAATCACAGAGTATTTGTTGCCAACTTTACTGCAACCAAAGAAAAGACCGATTCATTCTGCAGTTCCCAAAGTTAAAACATGTAAAACAGTGTCGTCTCCATCTGAGAAACTTCTCCTTCAGACTAATAGGTTCACTCCATGGACGTCCATGCCTCCCCTCTGCTCTCCCCCTCGCCGCGTTCAGACAATCTAGTTAACAGTTAAAGAAGAAAATCTTCATTTGCAGACGTTGGGGGCAGAGAGGAAGTCAAGGAAAAGTCGGCCGCAGCCACACGTCTTATCCGACTGCTCATTTTGAGGCAGGAACAAAAGGTCTTTCTCCTTCATTTCCCATTAACCCTGGTGCTCCTCTGCACACAGGATACATGCTGACCTGGGTGGCCCATGTCACATATCTCATCTGGCTGTGGGACCACTCACCCTCTGGGGGAGGGGGTGACACTGAGGACAGATCTTCTCTCTGGCAGCGGTTCTTGACAGATAAAACGTGGCCGCTGATATTTGTCCCTAATCTTGGCGATGGAGCCCTGATAGGTGGTGGGGGGGGAGCAGGGGGGTGAGGAACTGATGGGGTTCTTTAAGTGGATGTTATTGTCACCAGTGGGAGTCAAACTGCTACAGAGCCAAAAAAAAGTTGAACAGCCATGATTTTACCGTGTAGTAATCTGTGAATGCAGTAAACTGATGAAAAGTACACAGATATAGTACACAAAAAACAAAAATAGTATTAAAAATACTGTATTGGACTATTTAGTCATCAAAAAATCTTATTGGTGTAATTGTGTAATTGCTCACTATTAATTAATTGGACATTGACCTAAGATACTGTGTTTTCAATCATTATAATTAATAGGCTTATAATCATTGAATTAAATTAATAAAGATTTCATTTTTAAATGTTTTCTAGTTTCAATAAAAACTGGGGGGGGGGTTGTTTTGTTTTTTTAATTTCCACTGCTCAGGACAAATGTTCTGGAGAGAATCTCATTACAGTGTGTGGGAGATGAAACATGGCTGTGAATAAAATGATTAATGAACATGAGACAAGAGAGAGAGAGAAATGACTGACGTGTTGTTTGTCCTAAACCTCCAAGGGATAATAAAATATGTTTTATACTACATGAAAACACTACACGATGAGAAAAAAAATAGAAACACAAGAAACACACACCAGAGCTGTCGCGTAAAATAAACGAACACATGTCGACGACAGTTAGCACTGAGGAGACAAAGACAAAGGAACTTCAGTCTGATTTCCTTGTAGCATTTACACCTTTACACTCGTTGGTGCTGTTAATGCTAGCAGCGCTAGCAGTGGCTAACATGCCTCGCCTCCGAGGATGAGAAGCTGAGGCGCGACGGCCATGATGTGGAAGCGGTGAACACGAGGCGGCAGCGTACAGATGGGATTTACCAAACAGATTACGTTACACGCTGAACACCATCTGCATAGCATGTTTTGTCAGCTTCATGACAGGTAACAAGAAGAGGCTCGATGGGGAAACACAATAACAAGCTCCGAGCGGCCAACAGCAGACCCTGGTACCAACTCCTCCGATATCAAAATAAGATCAAAACACACTTCCTGCTGCACCACGACACTCTCTGTACAAGACTCCTGCTGCTCTGAGGGTCCAGGGTTCGATTCCTATTCTGAAAACCTGAAATGATTCGGCCGTGAGTCTTGGACCATGTGATCAGGACCAGTGATGAAATAGTAGAATCTGGTAACTCAAGGGTGTCAAAATTCATCAAGCGGTCCAGATTTAAACCCTAAGTGGGCAGTTTTCGGCCCACGGGCCGCATGTTTAACACCCCTGTAATAAATGGATGCTTTTATAATGTGCAGTTTCATTCTAGCCAGTTATTAATGACTTTTATAATCCGTGCCTCACACTGACAATGACGCACTGGTCTTGTAAATGCGTAGTTGAAGTAGAATTGACGTGGAGGTATTACTACATGTATAGTACTATACAATGAAGTGTGAAGTACTTCCATTAGCCCGGCTCGCTCTGTGGGAGTTTGTTGAACGGTATCTAACATCAGCCGCTGTTGTTAGCACAGGTGACAGTGTGTTGTGTGAATGGTGTGATGGTCTTCACAGGCTTTAACACATGAGGTGTTGTTAAAGCCGTGGCTCCAGGGCATCAATAAAACAACACCAACGTCTGCTTAATGAAGTCTTTCCAGTACTGTCACTGTAGTACACAGAAAGAACTGCAAATCACACAATGGAGTGAAACAACTGAACCACACAGTGTCGACCAAATACACAAATGGTGTGACCTTTGACCTGTACAGAAACAAGAGCAGTATCTCATCTAATAACAATCGTATTAGTTAGGATCAATATAGTTTCTACATGACTAAATAACACATGCTAACTCATGCTAGCTCTGTCTCTGTCTTCACCCTCTTGTCACTCTACTCCTCTCTCTCCCCCCTCCCCATTTCCCCTGTCTCAATAAGCCAAGATGACAGATGCACACTCTGAGTCTGGGTCTGGGTCTGCTGGAGACCCCCCTCTCCTCGGGGTCCGGTCTGTTTGGATTATGCTCTCCGTTTGGCCGCTAAAATATAATATCATTATTTACTGCTTAATTATTGACAGGCGCTCGGTGGAGCTGGAGCCAATCCCAGCATTCATTGGGTGAGGGTGGAGTTACAGCCTGGACAGTTCTCCAGGCCATCATTCACACTCATATTCACACCTGTGGTCAGTCTGGAGTGAGCAATCGTCCCCATGCCAAATCTGTGTTTGGATGCAATAACCACATATACCACCGTGTGGCGCACTATAAATAAAAAACCAAATGTGAATGTGGCCTACTTCCACTTGGCCGACAATATAGACGCAGCAATATATTTGTTCTAAAAATGTGAAGATTAATTTGGGAGCTGAATGACAATATATTTCATTCAGATTCCTGGGCCCAGATTTAACTTTTAAAACAGTGTTTGTTTCAGGCGTCTGTGGGGGCCTCTGCTCTTCTCATCCCTCATCTCTTCATCAGTTTGAGACCCCTGACGCGGGGTCTATTGATTTGCTCTGATGTATGGTTTATAGTCATCTGTTCAGACAGGCTTGTAAAGAGACACACACTCGTTTCCTCCTGTTTTTATTCCCTCATTATTTTTATGCAGCAGCCTATTATAGATCAGAAATCTCACACATGACGAGGCAGCTGTTTGTGAACAGAGCCGTGTGTGTGTGAGTGTGTGTGTGTGTGTAGACTCACCAACAGGAGACATCTCGGGAACAGAGACTCGGTATGGGCCTTCAGTGAACTGTGGTGGATTGTCGTTAATGTCCTGGACTTTGATGATGAACTCCGATGGCGGCTCCAGAGGCTGGTCTGTGTCGGCGTTAATGACCTGGGCAGTTAGTGTGTACTCAGCCTTCTCTTCACGGTCCAGTCTCTTCATGGCGTGGATGTCGCCTGTCAACTCATTGATGGCGAAGATTGTGCCCGCTCCCTCGCCTGCCAGGACGTACTTGATGTTTCTGTTGCCCACGTCCAGGTCTGTGTGAAGCTGAAGGGACGAAGACAGACAAAAAAAACAGTAAAAACTAAAGTCTCGTTCAGGGCTACCTTCACACCGCAGAGCTTGATGCCGAATTTTCAAAAATGCCATTTTCTGCTGCGATCCGATTTCTTTTTTATTTTCGGTGGTTTTTCACGTTTAACTTTAAATGGAACTGTCACCAGGAGATGACATGACACCAAACGCTGTGTTTATGGAAGTAAATATGAATTTTTTACTTCTATAAACATTTTATTTTCAGACTTTTACATCGTTGAAGTGAGACAGATGTCTTAATTCTGTCGAAGGAGGCAGGAAGGTTCCGGAACAGATGTTATCACTGGAGGTGACAATCATGGCAGATGCTGTGGATGGAGTTACTCGGTGCGAAGGGAAAGAATTGTCAAAGTAGAAAGTAAGAAGGTTCCGGAATGGATGTCACCAGTAGAGGTGACGATCATGGAATTAGTCGGTGCAAAAGGAAAAAAAAAAAGTTGTCAAAGGGTTTCTCTCCCTGTTGGGGGAAACCACAGCTTTGGTCGGTTTTGCCCCCGAGGTCAGAGAGCTGCCCCAGTTACTAGAAGGTTCTCTGACTGATGACAAACTGTTGAACATGATTGACAAAGATCAGGAAAAACAACCTCAGAGTTGATCGACACGCGGACGCGGTCAGCATATTTACCGTTGCAAACACGGACGTCGTAGACTCTTTGTTTAAACTGGAATCTAACATTTAAATGATAACGTTCACAAACTCAGGACCAAGTATTGAGACCTACTCACGTTCCCTCCTCTCTGTCAGAGACGGGAGTTTAAGAGAATCCAACGCAATGAGCTCAGCACAAATCCAACCGATGAGTCTTCTTTCTGTATCGTGTCATTTTTACTACTTGTTTGAAGGCAAATGTAGCAAAGACACCAGAGGTTGCTAAACGTAGCACACACTTAGCTCCCCGCAGGGGACAATATATTAAGTGGCACAGGAAATGGGTCTTAGACTATAATGCTTTCTGTTATACATCACAAAGGGTGGGGAATATCGCTCCCTGAAGTCTGAAACACACAGAACAAAGAAAACCTTGGCTCGCTAAGTATGCATCCCAGAACACGGAGGGAGAACTCTCTGAACGCACAGGAAAAACCAGCCCCAAACTGACTGGACTACACTGCATGTTCCTCATTATTTTTGCAATTACAGTTTCATTAGTTGACTAAAGCTGCATTACGCGCTAGGCTGACTGGCTGGCTCCCACTCACCACATGGGCTGAGTATAACTAATGAGTCTGACTCTGCTACACAGGGTTGGAAATATCTGTGGACAGAATAGGAGGCAACTCTTCTGGAAGAGCAAGGACGATTTAAGGTGCAGAGAGATCAGGAAGTTCTCATTTCATCATCACGGTTTTATGTGTGTCAGTGTTGAGTACTGTACAGTAGGTGGCGCTAAGTACAATTTTAATGCCCCATGACTGGTGCATTGTTATGTGTATATATGCTGTACACTTCATAACAATATAACAAATAAACCCCATTAGCATAGCGCTAACTAATTAGTGAATAAAAAGTCTGTTAGTGATGTACTCACGTCGTTTGTTAAATTACTGTTAGCAGTGTTTTAGCTGGGGACTTAACGTAGCACTAATTAAATAGTGAATAAGCATGTTAGCAGTGTTTTAGCTGGGGACTTAGCGTAGCACTAATTAAATGTTGTGTAAGTGATGCACAAAGCATCTTGCTAGTAATGTCTTAACAACTAGCGTTTTTAATGTGTTAGTGCACGTGGCGCTTAAATTTTGTGCGTGACAAAATCAACTTTGTTACATTACTGTGAGCAGTGATTTAGTTGTGTTGCTAATTAGCATTAGCATAGCACTAACCAAATAGTGAATAAGCAGCGTGTTGGTGATATACAAAGCATCTTGCTAGAAGAGTGCTAGCAAAAAGTATTTTTCACTGTGCCTCTGTTCTCTAACCGCGCATCTAAATTTTGTGCGTGACAAAACGAACTTTGCTACATTACTGATGGTTCGATGGAAGTGAGACGCTGCCAATCATTTAATTTTTGTCCTGACAGTGTTTTAACAGTGTGTTTGTTCGTAGCTATTAGATAAATGATAGCAGTTAGCATTAGCACATAGCGCGTTAGCGGCTTCTTCACAGATTCTGTGAGTGTATGCTAACACCGGAGCTTGAAAGACACAGATAGAGGGCGTCTGTGAAGTCACCTTTTATGTGAGTCTCTTTATCCCAAGGTGAGTGACTCTGACTGGTGCATTTATCCAACGCTACTTTGTTTGGTTGTGACACAGCTGGCAGCTGTCCCCTTTTTCTTCATATGGATGTATTCACACACACACTGACACTCTCACTCACACACACACACACACACACCACTGCCAGCACATGCACATAAAAACAGTGCAGTCATTCATCAAAACATCTGTATTCAGCAGCTTTGCTTTCATTCCCCGGTGTGGCCTTTCAGCAAAGACTCCTGATGAAGGGGAGAGAAAGAAAGAAAGAAAGGAAAAAAGAAAAGCGCTGGTGAAAAGCCCGACCTCTACACTCTACACGCCAACCCCCCCCCCCAACATGTTTTCATACTCCGCCTCTTATGCGCGTTCCATCTCGGAGGTGTTGTTTGCAGACACTGACAAAGCACATTCACTTAAATTGTCACACCTTGCACTTTTGTTTTCCTAATTGTGCCATCATTTCAAATGAATGATGGAGCTCATTAACACAAATGCCTCACAACATCCTGCACACCCAGAAACTCCTTAAATGAGCTCAAATTAATGACGGCCTGTCGTTGAGTTTTTCTGTCTCAGACATCAATGCCTTTGTGTGGCCCAGGCCTGCGGCCCAGTCTATTGTTTGGACGGTTGTACTGTTGCCTGTTCTATTGGAACACGGAGACTGGTGACGGTCTCAGCTGGACTACCTGTCATTTAACTCTGATTCTCCCATCTTGACACTGATACTGCTCGGTGTAATATTACTCTTCATATACTGCGTACCACAGAGGTGTTAAATTAGTGTTGGTTCAGGGGCTGCATACAAACAAATTAAAGTAGTAAAAAAGTAAAAATCTTCATATTTGTTTATTTTATTTTTTTCAAAACTCACCAAGTGGGCCGGATTGAAACCCCAAATGGGCCAGTTTTTTGACACCCCTGGCATAGCACCTCCAAAAATATTTGGCTGTGCACGTACCTCCAGAATGACCACTGCTAAAGTACAGGAACACAACAGGGTTTCTGTACCAAACACATTCAACTTTTTAAAAAGTTACGTTACATTTCCTCCTGGCACTGAACAGAACGAGACTACCGTTTATAAACGTCATGAATTCAATTTGTTTGATTTACAAGGTCAGACTGAAGTAAAGTGTTTTTTCTCTTTTATATTTATTGTTTGTTTGAACCCTTCAAGTGTCATGTAGAGACTCAACCATTGGTCTGTTTTCAAGGTGAAGAGTTTACACCGAGCACTTCCACCGGTATCAACGTTTCGTAACTGTGTAGAGGCAAATAAATAAAAGTGCACTTCTAAAAATTAAATGCACCTGAGCCAGTGTCACCTCAGATCCAAACGACCTCACTACAGTCATTTCTGTTGCCTACATGTTAATGAGTTGCCACGGTGACCAGGCGGTGTCCCACTCTGACTGTTCACATAAAAATATTTTACAACCAAAGCTGTTGTACGTTGACTGATGACAACATAACAATGGAGCAAAAAAAAACAAGAAAAAAAAAGTAACAATGGAGCAAAAAAAAAAAAAAACAAGAAATACAGAAGTGAATCAATTAAAAATGACTAAAGTATGTTGTGTAAACACAGGGGCCACACCTGCCCAGTAGGTGGTGGTAGTTCAACTAAAACAGAAACAGACAAGGAGGATGCATTTGCATCATCGGCACATGATGACATGATGACATGATGAAGAGCTTACGATAGCTGCATAATTTGGCTGCACACACCAAAGCTAACGCTAGCTACAACAATCCTGGTATAGACACCAAAGCTAACGCTAGCTGTGACAGTCCTGGTACAGACACCAGAGCTAATGTTAGCTACAACAATCCTGGTATAGACACCAGAGCTAACGTTAGCTACAACAGTCCTGGTACAGTCCAGCTCACAACAGCTGTAATTGTACTGTAAGTTTGTAGTAATCTGTGAAAGTACTACATTGATGAAATATGTAAGGATAAAAACTTCACTTCACCTGGATGTCTGTACGTTGATTGACACATGAATATCGGTGGATACAATAAAAATCATTACGTTTAAATAATAAAAGCAAAGGCTTTGATTAAAAATAAAATGTGACTCAGACCTGTAACCTAAGACGAAAAAAAATGGTATGAACATGAACAGAGTTTTTCAAGAAGCCACCAAGCTCTATTTATATCAGTGAGTGCGGTGCATATGAACAGAAAGATATTATTACGTTGTCATTTTATCCCGGCTGCTGAAAAATGAAGATATTTATAATTGGAGACTAACGATGATAAGGAACAGCTTGGGCCGAATGAAAAATAACCCGCGCCACCGATCTACAGCTCTCGACCCTCACGTGCACGCACCTGTTCACACATGCACATTCACGTACGGATCAATCTGCAGACCACGGCTTCCAGTCGGGCCCCGCGCCTCCGAGTCCCCCGTCAGGCAGGGAGGGAGAAATGTCGGTCGCTGCTGAACATCAGCTTTTACAGCAATCAGTGGAACAATCACTGTGTCCTAATGAGGCCGATTCAACAGCAGCCCCGCCACCCACACACACACACACACCGCACACACACACACACACCGCACACAATATGGAGATCCACACAGGAGTGGTAATGACTCCTCGTCAGGGCAAATGTAAGAAGAGCGTGTGCTCCTCCTGTGTACGGAGCAGTGACACGAAGGAGGTTTGAGTGGGAGAGGAGGAAGGAGGAGCAGCTGTCTCTGAGGCTGCTGGAACAGATAAGGACTTTAAAACGCAGACTGT